GAGAGTCCTTTTGATGCAGTTTTATTTTGTCTGTGAATGAAAGCGGTCGAGACCACGTCACGAGAAGATTATTCCTCGGACCGTACGCTCCTTGCATTTTGCAAGGCATCTTAATTCATTGCATTGTGCGGTCTTGAATTTTTAGTTCTTTGTTACGCGAGTGTCGTTTGATTCTTTTATAGGTCTCTGTAGAGAAAAAGCCGCTTTCCCTTTTAGTTTGATTTAGCTCAGGCCATAAAGAGCTAGTGAGCGCCGGTACATGGTATCTTCGCCTGCGAAAAGTACAGTCTCCAGCCGAGGTACATTATCGTTTTGATTGTGTACTTGAGGTGAGTCAGCTATTGCTCCCTCACTGTATTTAGTAGCTATGAGATTACCTTCTCTGAAGTGTGAAACACACTGGATTAGGTAAGTACATGGCACCGTAGTTTTCTTTTAAGTTGTCAGAGCTAGCTGGACTGTTTTAGCCTTGCAGTAGAAAAAGAGTATGCGACATACGCAATCAGCTAGGAGTGGACATGAATCTTGTGCCTGCTGAAAAGTAGAGCCTACCTGTACAGGGTTCCACTCCAACAGCCGATATAGTGTGTCCATGCTTGACTGCTTCAAGGCTCAAAGAGCAAGAGGATAAGACTCTGCGCATAAAAGACACTAGCGGTCTGCACCTCTACCGTGTACGCCCTAGTCACTCTTTCACCCCCCCCCCCTCTCCTCCTCCTTGTCTTCCTCCCATCTTCCCTCCCTCCCTCCTCCCTCCTCCCTCTTCGCAAGTTCGACTCCGTCCTGTCGTCGCTCTTTGGCATGCGGTTAGCGTTGCGTATCTTGCGGCCGCACTCGCTCACTCTCACTCTCACTGTCTCACTGTCTCACTGTCTCTCTCATCTCTCTCATATCTCTCTCATCTCTTTCTCATCTCTCTCATCTCTCTCTCCTCTCTCTCTCTCTCTCTCCTCTCTGTCTCTCGTCTTTCCGTCTCTCTTCTCTCTCTTCTCTCGCAGGAGGATCCGGGCAAAGAGCCACATATAAAGGACTCTTCACCCCTGCCTCCAAAAAGAGCGCCGTGTTTTTTCCTACCTCGCTGCCCTCCACTTTCCCATTCTGGAGCGCTAGCTTTCGCCCCCCCCTTGGCCTCAAGTATACACCTTAATGATTCATTCGTGCCAGGAGTTGAGACGATCTTGGCAGTTGGAGGTGGCCCCACCACTGTCTTAGAAGCAAAAGCCACAGCCCAACTGCCCAAAAGCAGCATGCCTCGTTGGGTCACTTGGCTGAGTTTGGCCGTGCGCAGAAATACAGGGTGTTGAGCCATGGACGATTGATGTGAGACATAGTAGCAAGAAGCTAGTAGGTTGGAGGCCATCGCTACTAGGGTGGAGGCCATCGCTACGAGTCAGCAAGAAGCTACTTGTAGCAATTTTGCCTGTGAGGGCCAAGAAGGAGACATGGTTTGAAGATGTTTGAAGAGTCTTCAGAGTCTTCCACACCCAGTTGGCAAACTGAAGTTTGCTGAACATCAGTGACGGGGAGGTAGTTGTTTTGGCACCCACCGTGCACCATTTCTTCAAAGGAGGCCACCACTCAACCTTTACACACCTGGATTCAACAAATTACAACAATTTCTTCTTCAGGCTGGCGCCACTGTGCTGAGGTGGTGTTGGACGTGCCGCGTGTAAAAAATGGTGTGCCCGAGCATGCAGAGGAGCTCCTCAAAGTTGTTGGCAAGGCGGACCGACATGCGAGAGAGGCAGAGGGCGCAGTGCATTCCGATATGTATAGAGGGATTTAAGGGGATGGGGGTGCAGCTAAATCACGCTCCTATGCTTGGATGCTCGGCATCTCTTTCTCTCTCTCTCTCTCTCTCTCCATATATATAAACAAAACATAAAATGGTATATGCCTAATAATCTCCATCTTTTTGTGTGCCCCTCCCTAAAGCAATTGAAAAGATAATCACCCACCACGACACTGGCAGGCTCAGGAAAATTATACCCCTGAGTGTGGTTCTTGGTTGGGCTGTGGACTACTTTGATGCCGTTTCACAGACCAGCTGAAGGAGGCTGACACAAAATGATGATGGGCATGCCAGCCTTGCAAGCACAAATCAGGAATTCTCAGGATTCCTGGATCAAACTGATCAAATTCCGTGAGTCACTCGTCACTCGTTTTTAGGACCAGATTGGAGCTGCCGGGCTCGAGCGAAAGCAACAGTTGTCGAGAACGACGTGCATTTTCGTCGCTGGCACATCACCCAGGGAATTCACGCATCATCTCTCCACATTGGTCCACCAAGGTGTCTCAATGGCCGTTAAATGGGCCTTGTGAATCGGTGAGAACTTAGGGAGTTACGAAGTTGGCCCATGGGAGCCTATGAAGGCCTCACAGGCAAAGCGAACTACTAACTTGCTGGAAAGATTTGAATATACATTTTGACTTCTGGGAATAATTTCTCGAAGAGCAATCCAGATCACGAGCACACCAAGTCGCTAAGCTGCCGAACCACCACCATCGCTAAAGGGTTGGAGGCATCCGCTCTTAGGTTGGAGGCCATTCCTATTAGGGTGTCGAAGCACCAGCGTGACCAAATCAAGCGGCCATGGCACCACATCGTCGCCCTGCCAGGTGCGGACATAGTGCAAGAGAGTTACACCGTGTTGCTACCAGATGCTACAAGCAGCACAAGCATACTGTATAGAGCATCTCAATGCACATCAGTTGCAATGATGAATGCAGTTACAATGTGTTACTTAGTGGAGAAGCTGAAGCGTGTCAAACAAAATGAGAGATGTGGCCAAGCACGTCAGCGTGCTAGCGCTCTCACGCGGACAGGAAACTGCTGGCGTGTAAATTGCGGCAACGCGAAGCGTTGTCTTGTGGGTTTCAAAGTGGTTGTACGATGCATATGTTTTGGCTGAACTTGTGGACAGAGTGAGATATCCTCTAAGAGGTTCAAGAAAAGTTATAAACAGGCTAGATTAGAACAGATATAAAAAAATCGAGGCCGTTTATGCTAGATGGTTCCACACATGTCTAAGTAGAAAGAGGACATGTAGACAAGAACACAAAAGACGCAAGTTTGGTAGAGAATAGTATGAACAATCAGACATGCCAACCTCAAGTGCAGGGAGTCTTGTAGGGGCAAGTAGTGGTGTCTAGAGAAAGGAGTGGAGACGTGGAGTTGTGTGGAAAGTTATTTATTGTTCCGAATAGCAAACATGTTTCCTAGTAGTAGGGCCAGGAGCCCCTAGGCCCTAGTATACTAGTAACATCCTTGCTCCTGTCAATATTTCAGAAATCAGCACAAATTGTAGAGAGGATTGTCAGCTAGAAAGTTAAAAGCTATCTATGCACACGTCTGGAACAACAAAGAAATGTAGAAACGCACACACGCATGTGTATATATATATACACATAATTTGGGTGTCTAGAGTTTGACAAGTAGAGCAGGAATTTCTAGAAACACCTTGACATGAGTGTCCAGAGAAGTCTCGGAAAGCAGAGGTGTGTACAGAATGAGAATCTCGTCAAACATGCAGAGACATACAGGCATACAGAAAACCGAAAGGACACCAGAGAATATCTATAGAAAGATGTGCAGAACAGAATGAGCAGAACAGTAGAACCTAGAGGTTTCTATAGTAGATAACAGTAGATAAGTTTAGACAATTAGAGACTTGCGAAAGGGTGTCGGATTGTATAAATGTTTTGGGAACCTGCAGGAAGGTAGCTGTCGAGCAAAAAGTCTAGGGCAGGTACAGGTTTGTGTTTTGTACAAGTAGGGAAAGCTTGGGAAAGCCACCCAGACTTGCAAAGAAATGTAACAGCTTTCAAACAGTAGATGATTGTTTCCTGAAGCCAGCGGCAGCTCGCTGTTCATCATTGCCTCTCACCACAACATAAGTCAGACGTTGCATCAACAACATCACAATTACGCACCACTCGTCATTGCATCACACCAAGAACCAGAAGACCAGAGCCATCATAGCCATAGAAAAGATGGGTTTACATCACATCACGTTTCGCCCGCCCCACCTTTTGCGGGTTTTATAATGTACTCATCCAAGAGCCGGCAGACACAAAGCGTTATTTTTTGTTATATAGGTTGGATGTGCAGACCAGGCATATCATTGTTTGTTGGATGCTCCTTCCGAGGGCGACAATCCGAAAGCGCCCTGCCACATCCGTGACATCCGTGACTGCAGCGCAGCACCAGGCGTCATGTGTTTGCGTTGCTGGTACTCCTTAAAGACGCCATTCTGGATGCTCGAGGTCTTATTCTTGATATATTAACTTACTTGCTGCGCCCGCTTTCCATGGGACAGAATTTTCACAGCCGCAGGTTGCGGAAGAGGTTACTGCGCCTGGTGCATTGGTCTTTCAAGAAGAGCCCTTGGTTTGTGCTCAGGTGGGCCATGTAACGCCGTTTGCCGGTGTTCCAGTGTGTTTCATTCTTTTTGCGGGAGGTTCTTGTGGCATTTGACGGAAATTAACATGTCCAGTTGCCCCAACTGCCTCGTGTATTTAGTTGTCTTTTCGATTGCCGCTCAGGCTCCAGACCAACTTCAACTGTAGAACAGTTTATGTCACTAAACATCTCGAGAATGTGCACTGAAGAGGGGCCTCATGCTCATCGCCCATCACCCCTCAGCACACTGCGTCAAGCAAAGAGAAGACACTGAGCAACCTCACGCTTGTGGGTCTCACCCTGTGAGGCCTCTAGACCTATAGTCTAGGCTCTCCTTTCGGCCACTCGGGTCTCGTTAGGACTGGCCGAATGAGAACACATGAAGGATCATGAGTTGACTATTTTGTAAACTTTCTGGACTGGCCTTTTGGCAAGATTCTCCAAGCATGTTAATAGGTTTTACAGCATGATTTTGAATGCATTCCAATGGGATGGACAAGTGGAACACAATGGGAGCTTTGAGACTGTTTCACTGCGCGCAGTACGAAGCCTTTGAGTCCGGCTTGTTTGACGATCCACAACCTGCCTTGGCGTTGCCATGTCGCAAAAGCAAAAATCAAAAAAGAAAAGGTTCAACCAAGCGGAGGCAGGGGGCGTACGATGGCATACGGCTTTTGACACCCGAAGACTCTATGACACTCTTTGCTGCAAAGTCTGATGTTTTTGCACATGATTTAAGCGCTCATTAATGGTGATGGCCTCCAAACTAATAGCAATGGCCTCCAACCTCTATAATTTGCGCAGGCTGTATGGATCACATTGTAGTCGTTTTGCTTGCGCGTGGCCGAGGAGAATTTGAAAGTGAACGCTGACGTGGAATCTGAAGGCCGTGACGACTGCTATGTTTGCCAGTTTTTCCAGCATCCATCAGTCCCATGCCAGGCCTGCACTCAAAGTCATCTTCATCAAATGCTGCATGGTAGCAAGATGAGAAAGCGGCAAGTGTTGATAGAAACTGCTCCTGCCATGGGTTTTCAGGGCAGCTTATGAATCCAAGGCCCAGAAAGCAGATACGATGAAAGATGCATCTGGATCTGGCGCGAACGTCGAGGCACTTTCGAAAGTAAGGCAAAGTCTGTGTCAAAGGAATCAGAAGTGCGAAAGATAGCTTTCCGCCGTCCGGGTTTGGAGACTTTGACGCTTACTAGTAGCATGAATTTTTGCGAAAGCAATGCATCAATGAAGCGCGAGGCCTTCGATTCGCCAGTCAAAGTGGATAGCTCCGTCAATGATTGGGAGGAGCCGCTGGAGACGCTTGCACCCACCCTCAGCAGGGCCAAATCCGCTTTGGAAGAAGCCCTAGCAGCTTGGCATCCCGCTTTCAAGTGACTTAGTTGTCCTCAGATTCCAAATCGACCTGGGCATGAATCTCTACGCCAGTCCCATATTATCAGGGAGTCTCTGGAAAAACGTCCAAAAGCAGTGTAGCTCTGAAAAGCAATGCCCACAAAGCTGTGACTTGGGTCCGCTTGTTATCAAGCGGATCCAAATCCCATTTGAACTCGTTATAGGTAAAAGGATTTTGCATTATCACACTGGCCGTCTTGTTCGAACCCTCTAGACTCCCATCCAAGTAGCTTTAAGAGACGATGACAGAGCATCAATGGAATTGAGATGAATCAACCAGTCCGTTTGAAATTGAAGATGAAGTAAGTTTTCAGCTGAGGCTGTTGATGAAAGTTTGCCGTGGCGGCGAGGACGCTTAGTACTATTGGGCCAAGGCCGGGCTGGAAAGACCTCCACTGTGAGATCGTTGGTGGGAAAGAGATTCGATGAGATGCAGATCCTCGGAGGAGTCATTGATCCAAGCACATGTGTTGTTTTTCTCACATAGCTTCTTATAGGCTCGTGTGATCGTAGGCTTATATTAGGACATGTTATGACCAGATTCCATTTGTGAACCTTGGTGCTTTGGTATTTGGGTGGAGGCCATCGCTAGTAGGTTGGAGGCCATGGCTATTAGGTTGGAGGCCATTGCTATTAGGGGAGGCCATTGCTATTACGTTGCAGGCCATCGCTGTTAGGTTGGAGGCCATTGCTATTAGGTTGGAGGCCATTGCTGTTAGGTGTTGGGGGCCATTGCTATTAGGTGTTGGGGGCCATTGCTATTAGATTGGAGGCCAGCGTAGGTTGGAGGCCATCGCTAGTAGGTTGGAGGCCATTGCTATTAGGGGAGGCCATTGCTATTAGGTTGGAGGCCATC